GGAAATTCAAATCCCGGGCTTCATTTGCAAGTGCGGTATGCCTACATTACCCTCCTAGTTCAAACTAGGAGGGTAGTGTAGACATACCTAATGGGAGTAAATCAGGGGGCCCAGATAATCTTCATCCAAGAATAGTAAAGGAACTGGCACATGAAATTGCAAGTCTGTTAGCAAAAATTTGTAATGAATCTCTAAACTCAGGGGTTGTACCATTTGACTGGAGAATTGCTAATATAGTTCCTATTTTTAAGAAAGGGAAAAAAAGTGGCCCGGGTAACTACAGGCCTGTTAGTTTGACAGGTCTTGGAAAAATGTTTGAAGGAGAAAGTAGTTAGAGACATTGAGGTTAATGGTAATTGGGACAAATTACAACATGGTTTTACAAAAGGTAGATCGTGCCAAACCAACCTGATCTCCTTCTTTGAGAAAGTAACAGATTTGTTAGATAAAGGAAATGCAGTGGATCTAATCTACCTCGATTTCAGTAAGGCATTTGATTTGTAGGCCTCCCCCAAACCTCGATGAGGTCGCAAAAGCAGGAACATTAGAAGGAACTGTGCATAGTACTTTTGGACCAACTTTCCAAATTAGCTCATGCAGCAAATTGAAAATGGACAGCATATTTGTTCAGGAAAGATTACGTTAAATCGGTGGAAAATCCATAAATCCTCTGTAGCCACAGACCAACGGCAGTGGCCCCAGCTTTTGATTATCCCCGCCCACTGGGATTTCCTATAAGGGAATTCGCATGTGCCCACTTCACCATACAGCAGCAGTGTGAGTGGGGCACTGTGTAGGGCTGAAGTCGGTCTCCAGGGTGGGGCCACAGGAATGAGGGGTTGAGGGTGTGGGGGTGAAGACTTTGGCTGGGGGCATTGGCTCTGGGGTGGGGCCAAAGATGAGGGGTTTGGGATGCAGGCTGGGGGTTGGGAGAGAGGGGTTCAGTATGTGAATGGGGATTCTGAGCTGGGGCATGGGGATAGGGTACAGGGGGTGCAGACTATGGAGGTGCATGCTTTGGGGCGGGATGAGGTGTTTGGGGTGCAGGAGGGGGTTTCTGGGATGGGGGGGTGGCTCAGGGCTGGGACATGGCACAGACTTACTTCCAGTGGCTCCTTGTCCATGATGCAGTGGCATGGTTTGGTCCTGGCACACTGGACCACACTGCACCCTGAAAGTGGCCAGCATTAAGTTCAGCTCCACAGGCAGTCCCTGTGCCAAGCTCTGGCTCCACACTCCCATTGTCCCGGGTCCTGGTTTGTTGCCAGGCATTGCTGAGCAAAAACGGACGGAGCTCATTTTGAGCTTGGTTTGAAATGGGACTGGCTTCATTTTTTTTGTCTTGTTTTGATTTTTTATCATGTGAGAGTTAGCTACTGGCCTCCACTTAGGAGCTGGGCCTGCTGCTGACCGGTTCCAGGGTGCAGAGCAGGCTTAAGTGTATGGGCAGCAGCTTTCATAGGCGGGGGAGGGTTTTGCCTTCCCAAACGGCCAGCCTGGCTGCTCCCACACTCCACCCCACCAATGCCTTCTCCCTACCTGTGCTCCGAGGCCAGGGAGGCTGGAGCTGCATGCCACCCACCTGCTCTGTGCTCTGGGGTGGGGAGGCTGGGTCCACATGGTGCCCTTCCTCCCTGTGTTCTAGGGCCAGGAAAGCTGGGGCATACAATGCCCACTCACCCATCTCTCATCCCTGTGGTGGGGGGTGGTGTTCACGTGCAGGTGTTCCCTGCCTCACCGTGGTGGGGGGCAGGGCCTCAGCACAGGGGGTGCGGGTGGGACTGGGGGTTTGCCTCCCGCCGCCCCACCTTCACCAATTACCCATACCCGTGATTCTTGTGAGATTTCAGACCAAACAGAAGATTTTTACCATCTTGAAGGACAGCTGTCTCACAAGAGCAGCACTTCTTAGGAAATTTTAATCCAAATCAAAGTAAAAACCAGAAAACAGGCCCTTGTCTAGTTTTGGATCTAAAGAGAACCAAAAGCCATATTGGCAGGTTCATATACAGGGATAAAAAGCCAAATCACGAATGTCACTTTGAAATATCAAGGTTCCAGTGATACCCCCTAGGTAACTGTAACTCTGAATAATAAAACACCATGAGTGCTGCTGAGATACTCATGTTTATAATTGGAGTTTTGCTGTCATCTGTTGAATTGAATGTGAACACTTTCAGTAATTGCTACTCCTGCTGATTTTTTTAGACTCGTCCTTTGAAGGGGTGACTGATAAACCAATCTTAGACTGTTGTGCTTGTGGAACTGCAAAATACAGGCTAACTTTTTATGGAAACTGGTCAGAGAAGACACATCCAAAAGATTATCCACGTGAGTATTATTTTATTATTACAGTTGAACCTGTGATTATCATTATTATTTCAGTTGAACAATATTCTTGCCAGCAAGTTAAGGAAGTATGGATTGGATAAACAGGCTGTAAGGTAGATAGAAAATTGGCTAAATTGTTGGGCTCAATGGGTAGTGATCAATGTATCCGTGTCTGGTTGGTGGTCAGTTTCAATTAGAGTGCCCCAAGGATTGGTTCTTGGGCTGGTTTTGTTCAACGTCTTTATTGATGACCTGGATGAGGGGCTGGATTGCACCCCAGCAAGTTTTGAGGATGACACTAAGCTAGGGGGAGAGATAGATACATTGGAGGTCAGGGATAGGGTCCAGAGTGACCTAGCAAATAGGAGGATTGGGCCAAAAGCAATCTGATGAGGTTCAACAAGGACAAGTGCAGAGTCCTGCACTTGGGATGGAAGAATCCCAAGCATTGTTACAGGCTGGGGACTGACTTACTAAGCAGAAGTTCTGCAAAAAAGGACATGGGCATTACAGTGGATGAGAAGATGGATACAAGTCAACAATGTACGCTGGTAGCATATTGGAGTATATTAGATGGAGCATTGCTAGCAGATCTAGAGAAGTGATTATTCCCCTTTATTTGACACTGGTGAGACCACACCTAGGGTGCGTCTAGACTGGCAAGATTTTGCGTAAAAGTGGCCGCTTTCACGCAAAAACTTGCCAGCTGTCTGCACTGGCCGCTTGAATTTGCGCAAGAGCACTGACTTTGTAATGTACAAAATCAGTGCTTCTTGCGCAAATACTTTCACGCTCCTGCTCGGGAAAAAGCCCTCCTGCGTAAGAATACCCAGTGTACACAGGGAAGAACTGTTTTGCGCAAAAAAGCCCTGATGGCTAAAATGGCAATCGGGGCTTTCTTGTGCAAAATCGCGTCTAGACTGGCCATGGATGTTTTTACGCAAAAGGACTTTTTGCGCAAAAGCATCCGTGCCAATCTAGACTCACTTTTGCGGAAATACTTTTAATGGAAAAACTTTTCCGTTAAAAGTAATTCCGCAAAATCATGCCAGTCTAGACGCAGCCCTGGAGTATTGCGTCCAGTTCTGGGTCCCCCATTACAGAAAGGATGTGGACGCATTGGAGAGGGTCCAGTGGAAGGCAACAAAAATGATTAGGACACATGAGCATTAGGAGCACATGACCTATGAGGAGAGGCTGAGGGACTTGGGCTACTTGATTCTACAGAAGAGAAGAGTGAGGGGGGATTTGAAAGCAGCCTTCAACTACCTGAAGTGGAGTTCCAAAATGGATGGAGAGAGGCTGTTCTCAGTGGTGACAGATGACCAAATGGGGGCAATTGTCTCAAGTTGCAATGGGGTAGGTCTACATTGGACATTAGGAAAAACTATTTCCCTAGGAGGGTGGTGAAGCACTGGAATTGGTTACCTAGGGAGGGGGTGGGATCTCCATCCCTATAGGTTTTTAAGCCACAGCCTGACAAAGCCCTGGCTGGGATAATTTACTTGGGATTGGTCCTGCTTTGGGCAGGGGGCTGGACTTGACCTCATGAGGTCTCTTCCAGCCCTTGTATTCTATGAATCTAGAGACTAAAACAAGGAGTATGGGGATTCTTGTGATAGATGTGATACAAATCTACAGAACAGCCCCAAGTTTTCAAAAATCTTGAGTAGGGCCCCCCCAAACCAGGAAGTTTGGTTAAAAATTGAGATTTAAAAAAATAAAAATGAGGTTGACTTGCCTTCTGGCATTTGAGATTTGAAATGTGCTGTTGGGTTAAATTTCCAAGCTTCTCTTTGCCACCACGTGAGCTAGAGACTTATTCTCTCCCTTTTTTTAAAGGGGCTTAAATACAGTGTAATTACGTAATTCTCGGTGCCAAGGGAAAGTTTTTTTATTTCTGTTTTTGTTTTTATTTTTGTTTTTGGAACAAACAGCAGATAGCACAAGATTAAATATAAAATCTTGAGTTTGCAGCATTATTTATGTCCATATGGAAAGATTCCCATTGATTTCAGTGGGCACTAACTCTGATTGTTTGTGAGGATGGCTGCATGTGTAAAGCATCATTTATATAGTCCTCTTTCTTTCACCAGTTTCAGATGGATAAATAAACAATTCTTAAAATACAAAATTTTTCTCTCTTAAATCAAAGTAGTGCAGAGTTTCTAACCTACAGAATCCATGGTTTTATGGCACTAAACCACAAATAGCTGAAGATTAATCTACAAAAACATGCATAGAAAATGGGGATTTTTGTTTTTTTAATACTGGTTTTTGGTTCCCACTTCATTGTCTTTTTTCCATCTTATTTTTGATCTTTCAGTGCGGTCTTCACTATCATAGGTAATAAAGGCAAGTTTGAGACTCAGGCTATGTCTAGACTGTAGAGTTTTCTGGGACACTGGAGGTATCCCAGAAAAGTTCTGCCACGTCTAAAGAAGGCGTCCGCTTTTTCGGCAAGAGAAAACGTGCTCTTTCAGGGAGCCTTGTATACCTCATTTCACGAGGCATAAGGGCTCCGCTGAAAGAGGAGGCTTTTCCACCATTTATATGGGGCCAAATGGCAGAAAAACCTTTTCCGCAAAATTTATCGGAAAAAACTAGTCCCGTAGTTTAGACCTAGACTAAGACATGCTGTCCCAGGAGAGAGGGGCACAAGCCTTGAGTAGAGACAGGCCCAGTAAGAGGCTTGCCTGACAGCCCAGGTGGTTGGTGAAGATTGCAGGAGGCATAAACATACGTGGGATGGACTCTATTTGAGGGGTCACTGAGGTTCGCTGCCCTTCCCCCTGGACAGCAGGCCGGGCGCCCTATGAGAAGCTATTATATTCAAATCAAATCCTATTCACTGTTGTCTGTGTTCGCTATTTGTCATATGACTGCAGAAATGTTTGCCAATATATCTCCAACTTGGGGGCTGTTTTTTTCATTAGGACTGTCTGACATGTTACATATCACCTACCATTTTAATTGGAGAAAATTTTTCATATTGATCTCCCAAGGGGAATATTATTTTAAAATGAATACTGCCTCCCATTTATTCATTTACAGTAGGAGATAAAGAAGGAAAATATTATATTTCTCATGCTTTATGGTTCCAATATTGACAGAAAAAAAATCTCCCTCATCAAGAGCAAATTTAGAAAATTGAATGTTTGGGGGTTCTTTTTGGTTTTCTATGACAACTAAAAACTGAAAAAGCTAAAATTCCCCTTTGACCTGAGAACATCAGTATTGCTCCTATATAAACAAAACACAAACACTTGCATTTCTCATTAATGTTTCCCGCTAATTTATTTGCCAACTCTTAACAGATTCCAAGTCTTTCACATTGACCTATCTTTCCATTTATATTTTTACAACTAACAAACAAGACCTGTAGAGATATATTATTCAATTGTTATTTTAAAAATAAAATAAAAACCCAGTAAAGTCCCAAACACTGTTATAACATGTAATATATTCTTTCCTGGATATACGGGAATTTCCATACAAAGCTCTATTTTATTTGCTTACGTTTACTTCAAAAACTGCTTATGCCAAAGAAGCATAGTTTTTATCATACAAAAGTGCTTCAGGGAGCTATGTGACACAGCCTTGAACTTAAGCACAAATCACTTTCCAAGTCTGCAAGCCCTTCATTATGTTGGACACACAATGAGGGTGATTTAACTGAAGTTACACCGCAGAGCAGAAGAACTTCTGTTCCATTACATTTAAAATTGTATTATGTGTAGGACTCAGTAGAGTGGTGAATGCACATACCAATATTGGGGATGAAATCACTGCATTATACTTTTGTTCTGAGTGTTTTTTTCTGATGGCTCCAGTTGACTCTAGAGTAGAAGAATGATAATATTATGTTTCTCTCTCTGTATGGTTTCAGTATAGGTCAGGAAAAAAACACCCTTTTATGAGCACATTTTTAAAAAGGACTTTTGGGGAATTTAGGAAAAGGAGAGTTTGGGGGGTTTGTGGTTTATATATGTAGAAAGAGTGAAAAGAACCACAAATGGTTACTTTTTAAAATGCTTTTGTTTTCGGGAGTATTGGAGAGACTAGGAGATTTTAATTAGACTTGTGAATTTGGATGGATTTAAGAAAAGAAAAATACAGGTTGAACCTCTCTGGTCTGGGAACATCCATGGTCTGGCATGATTTTAATTTTTCGGATGTCCACTTAGCATGGGTGTGACCAAGTTTCCCGCGGTCCCATAAAATTTTTTTACAGCCAGCAGTCCTGCCTCTCCATGTTCTGTGCTGTTATCTAGCTTGAATTTACCCCTCAATGTCCTCTGAGAGCCTAGTAAGCAGTGGAAGTGTTGGAGATGCTGCTAGACTTCCATGGATAGGCAAATTCTCTGGTTCAGCACCTGTCAGGTCTTGAGGGTGCTGGACTAGAGGAGATCAACCTGTAGCAAGTACGCTCACCAGATGCATTTTCATGAGCTATCACAGCTCTTTATAAAAATACTTATGGAAGCCAAAAGTTGTATTTATAACATTTGGCTCATTGAAATTGAACCATTACATTTCCTCTTACATTTTGCTATCTGAAATGGTTAGTGCTTAGGGTAATCCAGAGGGTTATGGGCTTTCAGTACCATTTGTGCTTTTTTGGCTAGTGCCCTTATATTATGTAATATAAAGAACATTTGTGAATAACTAGGGGGTGGTGCCTCCTGCTCGCTATGCTCACCAAGCTCCCTGTCTTTGGGGGTAGGCAGCCCCAGCTCTCCCCTTGGCCACCAGGGTGGGCTGGGCTGAGGCATGGCAGTTCCGGCCTCCCGCCCAGCCACCAGGTGAAGGCCAGACCTGGCTCTCCTCCCCCCCACCCTCGGCTGTTGGACAGAGCTGAGGCTGGGCCAGTTCTGGCTCTCCCCCTGTACTTCAATTTGATCTTCCTGCCTCCATTCCTGCACTCACCACCACACACTATCCCTACCCCCACCTCCTTCCTTCATTCCTACATCCCCATCCTACCCTAACCCTCCCCA